GACCAGAGTTCATAAGCTCTCATATAGTAATGCTTGGTGGGGCTTCCCAAAAAGTGAATTTGGTATCTCTGGCCTTTCTATTTGGAAGAGAACACATGCCCAAGATTTTCCCAGAAAAGTAATTTGGTTGGATATTACATATTTTTAATTTGTCCTTACTTAACTTTAAAGGTATTCCAAACTCAAGAGATGATTTGCTAAAAAGCTCATGGTGAAATCACTGAGAACCATATTAACTTCAAAATATGTGAAGAGCTACAGAGTGGACTCTGTATTGGATGACACAAATTCAAATTATTTCTCTTAAGTCTGAGCAGACTAAACAAGTTTTTGATACTTAGCTGTCAACTTAGTTATTCGTCCTCTAACTTCTCTAGACAGTTTCTGAAACAATGAATTATTCATCAACTTCCAGTTCACTCATACAGCTAATCCATATCTCTAATAAACTACTATTTTCAGCAGTAAATGCTGGATCTGCTATACACATGGATTAGCAGTCTCGGTATACGATCAGGTTCACAAAAGTCACATGGCATTGAAAGCATGAAGATAATATATAAAGCCAAGATTATAAGTGTACAGACTCACATATATGTACAAGATTCTTTAGCTATGCAGAGATGAGTAGACGGATGGACAGGTGATCATACTGGTTTCAGATGTAGCATTACTGCTTTCAATGACAATTTTCCAAGACATTTAAAATCAGTCCCCAACGGGAATGTAAAGTCACCAGAGCTAATCCCAAACCTCAGATTAATCTGATTCACATACTGTCAATGGCTTTTCAGAAAGATGGCTCAGCCACAGCATCGTTTTACCAGTGCCTCAATACGTTTTACACAGCGAGACCACATACTAAAAATTGACACCACTTCCCAAAATTTGTTATAATTATCCTCTCCCTATTTGGACAAGATCTCAAAATTGAATTAGCTGTTTAATTAACCACCGTTGGTTACATTCATGTGGCAAAGCAGAAATGCTGACACTGGATCGATGTGGCTGCAGCCTCCAGTTGCTGTCTGTATGAGCACACACAGCATCAGTGACACTTGGCACTAACCCTGCACACAGCTCCCAGGCACAGGGCAGATCCTGCCAGTCACCTGCTGGAGGCTCATTTCCCCCAGCCAGCTGTGGAACCACGGCACAGGACTTGACAACAGCAGTGCCCTTCCAGGAGGCACCGTGAGACTTGCATTGAATTATCATGTCCTGTTTGAGCACTGAGTTTTAACTTGCCTCAGTTATGCAGCCACATGTCAGTGAGCTAGACTGAGGCATGAGCTCCAAATGCAGTCGTGGTAAACACTTAAAGGCTCAGTTTTACTTTCTGAATCAGGTCTCCTTTTAATCATACATGCTATAAAACGTGTGAGCACTTAGTCTAGGATAACATAATTTTACAAGGGAGAAGTGAAACAAGGAGAAAGAAAGGGGAAGAAGAGGAAATTGATTTTAGTTTCTTACATACATCTCTTCATGGAGGGAGAGAGATTTTAAATGCTGTGATTGCATTTAAAAGACATACAAAATCAAGCCATTATATACATATTGCAATATGTCTTACATATATTATCTGGATAAGTTTATCTTTTTCACAGATGGAACAAGCTCATAAATTTTCTGAGGTCATGAGAGGCTGATTTATTCATTCCATCAGTATTTTTTTCCATTATTTTGCCCAGAACTTTCCTGTTCTATCCCAAGTAAGATAAATTCAAGAAATAGTTAAAATCAAAGCTTACAGCATTTGCAACTCACTTCACACACTAATTTTCACACAGTGTTGTTTTCCCCTGTGTTTTTCTTTCCTCCCTCTCCCATAAGCTTACTCAATCCTTCTGGCCCAATATAGGAATAAAAGCAGGGCAATGCTTCTATTTCTGTCTTTGCCACTGACTGACTCACAGTATAGTTTCTTAAGCATTTACATCTTCCACTTGGATCCTCTGGTATCTAAGAAGATGAATGTGTCTGTTGATGTTTTCTTTATGGTAAGAGCACCCACAATGTCTCCTTCTGTGCAGAATCCATTGCACTTAGTAAGGGTTGAGTCCACACTACAACCTTCCTATCAGTGAGAATATTAGTAGGGGTTCTGACTTCAACCTAGATGCCTACTTTAATTACAACAGTTGGAAATTTATATTTTGAGATTGGTCAGTCATATTTTACTTCAACCAACAGCCACAAAATTGAGAAATAGCACTCACAGATAGGCACACAAAACAGCATCATCATATACACTCTCCTTTATAATGCATGCTAAAAAGGAGTTAGACATATTCACAGAGCATAATGTGATCCTGGGAGCAGGACATACACAGAGTTATTTTAATATGGAGAATGCTGGCTATCTTGTGCTACAGAGCCCTGCAGCACTACTGTCTGCTGAATATGCAAACACATTGCTCTTTCCTTTTCAGTGCTGTATTGCCTTAGGTCACGCTACTGTCCCACTTACAGTCCTTCACAAATATATTCTGTTCTTTAGGGTCATTTTATTGATGGCTAAATAAAAATAACTGCATCGAATCACATTAGCAAATGTGTAGATAATTCTTACAAGCTAAGATTTAGTCCTTACTATTGGAATGAACATCAGACCCCTACTGTGGTTTTCAAATGTTGGCAAAATCCATGTATGTGGAACAACAGAAAGTGGAGCTGGTTCTTACATGCCAGCCTGTTATTTTTACAGCTACTACTGCTTTAACAAAGTATATATTTAATTAGAGAAGACTCTCCAGCAGTTGTCTGAATTATGAGTTAGCCTTACAGATAAACACATTAGCAAGAAGTGTATTCCGATTTTCAGTATCATAGCAGGAACAACACAGTGGGCTGCTTCATGAAGACTGTGATGTCCAAAGCACAAAGAAAATAGGATCTTAAAAAACAGGACCAAATGTTAACAATCTGTTACGAAATGGTACAATCCAACTACTTTAGCTTAAATACCCTGATTTTTTTTCACAGGATAAGCTGCCAGCTATGCTGTTCAAGATTTATTTTGAAAATTTCCATTCTCTCGACTAATTACCAAAAATATCATGAGAGTACAAAGGAAATCAGATACTTACTGCTTGAAAATTATTTGTATTGGAACTAGTGACTGGATTAGTTTTAATTAAAAGGCAAAGAAATAAAAAAATACCTAATGTAAAAATAAATACTTATTTCCCATGTTAATTAATTACATTGATTGATATTTTCTATTCACATCCAGTGAAAATTCAAATCTCTTTTTTCTCATGACATGATCGCTATACAAATTCTTCTAAAATTAAGGATTATACCCTATTTGCATTTGGGTACTTTATTGAATGTAGGCTGTAATATGTGCTGTAATTATATATGTATGCAGATGAAAATATGCATATTATTATAATAATAAATAAAAGACTGTTGAAATACATCAGAAGACACCTTTGGCTGAAAAATAAAGGGGCAGGGTTTGGGTGCTGTGAACAAATTATTGCCAAAATGCAGCAGATCCAAACTAGAGATCTTAGGTTTCTGTGGTTTGGCTTCATTACATAAAATTTCAAAACAAAGAATAAACGGCACGATAGTATTTTGGTGAAAGCAGGTTCTGACAGCCAGATTTGAGCGCATTCCCAGTGTACGTAAAGCGACACGAAGTGACATCCTGCTCTCTAACCAAACTGAGATGTGATCGAGCTCTCCAAAAGGAGACACTTGGAAAGCGCCAGGTGCTGCCTCGCCCCCGACACTCGGCCAAGTGCAGGAGAGGGCTGGGACGCGCTCTCCGCAGGGGGATGCGCTGGGAGAGCTCCCGGCTGGCGCTGGGGAGAGCGCTGGATGCGCGGGGGCTGCGTACACGGCCCGGAGCCGCTCTGTCCCGGCGCTGCGGGCGGAACGCGCGGCTCCCCCCGCGGGACGGCCCTCGCTGCGGCCCCGGCCGGCCGGGAGGCGAGAGGTGAGGCCCCGGCAGCCGGCGGGTGAGTGAGTAGCCCGGGCCAGCCCGAGCCGCCCGGGGCACGCCGAGGCGGCGGCCGGAGATGCCCCCGCGGGCCG